CTTGCAGACCACCCAATTGCCCCCACCTCCCCAGCCCCCCACCAGTTGGTTGGTGAGCAAAACTGATTGTTCAATCTGGATTACAGGTAGACAAATCCCATAAATTAGCCTCTTTAGCAAATATTTAGGCTCCCCTTTGGGTAAAAAAGCTCAGTATCTCAGATGCTTCTCCATTCCCTGCTTCTCCTTAAGGTGGCAGGCTTAGCTGTTGTTCTCCAGGTGCTGGGAAGAAACATGGCATCCCTGCCCCTTCTGGTCTTCGGGTGCCAATATTTGTCCTGTTGATGTTCCCAGATGAAGCCTGAAGCTGCTATAATTCATGATCTGGTCTCTGTCAGCCCACCTCAGCTCTCAGTGGTAAGCTGGAGTCCTCTGAGATATGACTGTGAGCCCCAAATCCTTGGCACAGAGGCCCCAGGGAACCACTGGAGCCAGATTCCCTGTTAGGTTCTCTGCTACCTCTGGGTCCTGTCTGTATCACTGGAGTATCAAGGTCACCCAGGAAATCTACAAGCAGCCTCTCCTGTCTAACAAGGCTCCATCTACTTAAATTTGCCTGTCAGCCTACGAGGCTTCCTCTCAAGTCCTAAGTGGGAATCGGGAGAGAAATGCCCCTTCCCTTAGTCACCCCTTATTTATCTGACACATATAATAATAATAGTCTGTACTTAGATGAAGCTTAATATGTGCTTTGCGTGGTTTAATTCTCAGAACCCTATGAGGAAGATGTACTATTATCATTCACATCTAATAGGTGTGGAAACTGAGGCACAGGAAGGTTGAATGACTCCCTCAGGATCACAGAGCTCTGGAGTCAAGGGTGGAGCCAGAACGAGCATCCTGGTGGCCGAGCTGCAGAATCTGTCCTCTCAGACTCTGAGCTATGCTGCTCCCCTGCCTCCTCTGAGCCCCTTGGCCTCTTCCCTTCATTCCTCCTTCTGCTCCCCGCCCCCAGGCCAGAAAACGGCAGGATTTTATTTGCCCACGTCATATGCTCTCTCTACCCTGAAGCTGGTTTACTTACCATATAAAGAACGGCGTGGGTTTGGTTTGTTTTGAACACTTTTCTTCTGCGTTTCCAGAGGGCGGCTGTATAGTGATGTCACCCGTGAGGCGAACGTTTCATTCTCCCATTGTCCACTTCAGCGGAATTCTGGGAACTGCTGAGACTGGCTGGTGGCAGCCATCCAACTCCCATATGGAGATCCAGAATGTGTCCTCGAGAGCCTCACTCAGATATCAGCTCCACCCTCGGCAGCTCACTACATCCCGGAGGACATCAACAGCGTGACTGCATCCTCCGGCAGCAACAGAAATTGACCAAGCCTGGCTGGGCTGCCCTGTCCCACTGGGAGACCAGGAGCAGTGACCATGGTAAGCACCCCGTGTACCTGCAGCTGCCCAACGTGTGGCTGCCGGCCCTGGTGGCTCCACACTGATGCCCACCCGTTGCTGCAAGGGACAACTACTTTATCCTTCTACTTTCTTCACCTGGCACCTCCAGGTGACCTCAGACAAATAGGATGGGATCGGGGCTCCTTGACCGTGTTGCCCACTGGGGCCCAAGGTTCCCCAAGATGAGCCAAGCACACCTGGAGATCTATTGTTTCTCAGATATCTGGATCTTCTATCAAAACCTTTAATTACATAGTTTAAGCCTTAGGGTGGTGTGGTTCTATTGCTCAATTAGCAGTAGCTTTAAGTGTGAAGACTGCAGCTCTGTAAAGCATTATCACAGAAAGTGGGAAGCACCAGCTCTCCATCAGCAACCGTGTTCTAAAATGTTTCATAGATTTCATCCTTTTAGTCATTTAACAAGTATATTTTGAACAAATCTCTTCATTTCCAGACAGATCTATTTCTTATTCATTCCAAATTCTTTATCAAGGATTCCCCACCTGGCATTCTAGGATTCTTATGTGTCCTCAGGGCACTAAGGAAGGCCTTTCGTCTGTTTTCAGTATATCCTACAGAAATTGTACTTTTATGATAAGGTTGTAAAAATGTTCTTTGCCTTCAAGTGAAATGATAAATGACCCAGTGGCATTTATGCAGATCAGAAGGTCTGATTAGCACTCTTTAACTGAAATACATGGAAATGTAAATAACTTATTACATGATAAAAGAAATTGGTTTGGAAGATGGAAACATTCAAAAGGTGAGGTTCACACGTGCAAAGGATGCTTGATGAGAAGACAGGGCCCCACTACTGCCTTCTCACCATGGCTATGTCTACTGTCCCTCTGAGAGTTCACAGTCTCATGGTCACTGTGAAAAATGTCTTTTATGCTGATTATACAATTGTCTGTTTCAAGGGACATCAAGGCACAGTGACTAAAGGGCCATTTTTTTTTGTTTTCAAATATGCCCTGGAGGTTCAGGGGCCACTGAGGTACTGGATCATTCTAGGATCAAAGACTGGATCATAAAAATTGTCACCCCACTTTATCACTAACTGGGGCTACTGCGATAGGTAATGATGTTCAGTGGATTCTCAGATCCCTCTCTTCCAGGAGACCCACAGCCTGGAAAGACTGGGGGCCCTTATGGCGGAGCTGTAGTTCTGGGAAGCCATTGACACTGCATCGAGAGGGTAAATGTCCTTATACCTGGGGTGACAAGTGGTTGCTGCCACTCCCATGTCTTTGCAGAGACAGGAGAATGAGGGCAACAGCTACTTAGCGTCATTTCCTTCTTTAATACTTTAATAATACTTGTTAAAAGGAAACAAGCAGTCCCAAATGGAGTCAATTGTGCTAAACCCCACCAAGACTTAATATCTAACTCACTGTAGTTTCAGCCTCTCCCAGGAGTGGAATTTTAAATCAGTCCGTCTGAAACTTCCTGGTCCACACTAGGGAGGTAATCTGCCCTAGACCGCCTGCATTCCCTTAAGGAAAGGTGACCTTACCTGAAATAATCCACTCTTTGAACTTCCTTGTCCCACCCTCTTTTTGCCCATAAAAATCTTCTATTTTGTACAACTCCTTGGATTGCCTTTCTACTTGCTAGATAGGATGCTGCCCTTTTATGAGTGGTTGAATAAAGCCAATTCAATCCTCAAATTCACTCCACTGAATTTTGTTTTTTGAACACACTCAATAATTAGAACCCTGATTCATTGAAGGACTTCAACAGACGTGCTGCTCCGTGCCAGGCTCTGCCGTAAATTCAGGACTACAGAAAGGCAGATCACTTCCTGTCCTTGGGATGCTCACACACAGCCTCATGGGAAATGAGATCTGTATCCTAGCTACAAGATAATCCATGGACTGCTATATTAGTGATTGGAATGAGATATTAATGGGAACACACAGGAGGGAGTAAAACGTCTGGGAGGGAAGGTGGTGACAGAAAGCTTCACAGAGGCACTGACATTTGAACTGGCCTATGGTAAAATGAGAGGCAGTTTTCTATGGGAGCAGATGGGGTGGGGATTCTGGCTCTACTCTGTAAGCATTTAAGAGGAGAAGACAATGAGCTTTTGATGACCTCCCTTTGAAACAGGAGGGAAGGCAGCAGGGCACAACCTTTAAAAGAAATGACATAGCCCTTGAGGATATGACAAAAACTGGTTAGACGCAGTTGGGCCCAAGATGGCGGAAGATTCGACTTCCAGTGGACCTTGAACCTCATTATACACTCATTGTAATAGATTATCATATACTAAATGACACACCCACAGGCACCATGACAGTTCCGAGGCTGACCATAAAAGGCCGAAAAGTGGACGGTGGCCAAGTTACTGGAAATCCCCGCCCCTCCCCCCAAATAGTTGGAATAATCCTCCCACTCATTAGCCTATGAAATTACCCAGCCAATAAAAACTAACCACCCCATATTCCAGGGCCTCTCACCTTCTGAGATGGCCCACACTTTGCCTGTGGAGTGTGTTTCTCCCAGGGCCACTCTCGCCTTTTAAAATGGGCCGCATTCTGTCTATGGAACGTGTATCTCTCTAAATAAAACAACTTCTTACCTATCACTTTGCCTCTCGCTGAATTCCTTCTGCACAGAGACATAAAGAATCCGAGATTCAGAAAGTCCTGAAACCTACTGTGCGATTTCAATTAAAAGACAGTGGGTTCAAGTCCCGATCTGAGCTTTGGCTGGTTTTGAAGCCCATCTGAGCTGTGCAGTTTCACCTTGATTAATCATTCCAAGTTTCTGCCTTCTTTCCCAAGCCAGCAGATTTTTTTTTAAAGGAACATTTATTTATTTATTTATGGCTGCGTTGGGTCTTTGTTGCTGCGTGCGGGCTTTGTCTAATTGCAGCGAGCAGGGGCTACTCTTCATTGTGGCTTTTCATTGCGGTGGCTTCTCGCTGCGGAGCATGGGCTCTAGGTGCGTGGGCTCAGTAGTTGTGGCATGCGGGCTCAGTAGTTGCGGCAGACAGGCTTAGTTGCTCCCCGGCATGTGGGATCTTCCCAGACTAGGGCTTGTTGGCAGGCAGATTCTTAACCACTGCGCCATCAGGGAAGTCCCACCAGCAGATTTCTTAAACATTCGTTTCACTGGTTTCACCTGTCTTAGATCACTTTGTTTTCTACTGCAGTGGTTTTCAAAGTTTGATGTTCAGACCAGCAAAATCAGCATCACCTTGAACTTGGTTAGACACGCAAATTCTGGGGCTCCAACCTGCATTGCAAACTCCTGGAATTTCACCTGATACAGACTCAAGGTTGACAGCCACAGTTCTAAACACATCCAGGACTCTGGGGAGTGGGAGCGGGGTGTAAAATGCAGAGGCTGAGAAGGATCTGGGTTTTTCGGTGCCACCGGCCAGGGAGGGGTTGGACGACCCGGCTGAGGTTCCCGCCTTGGGATCCAGGTCCACGGTTCCACCCAGGCTGGTCTCTAGCGTCTCCTCTGGCGGTTTCTAGAAGGAGCTGGAGGTTGAGGGGAGAGGTGCTCCCACAGGTCCCTGAACCAGACTCGTTTTTTCTCTCCCAAGCGGATTGACTAGGAGGCTTAGCTGAGCAGCCTCAGGGCTGGCTTTGGGGTAATACTGGCGTCCTTAGTTTTGCAAGTGAGCGATGCAGGCCTCCTGTGGTCGTTCTGTTCCGGCGCCGGGACCGCGGCCACTCCCATCCCAGAGAGGAGGGTGCCTTTCTCCTAGGACAGCTTGGTCAGGTGACCTTGGCGGCTCTTACTCAGCCAGGGACCCGGAAGGACGAGGGATCAGGAGGCCGCGCGCGTGCGGGCAGGACGGCGGGCGCGGGGCCATGAGGTCCCCGAAGCTGCCTGGGCTCGTACTCTCGCTGCTGCTGCTGCTGCCGCCGCCGGGTCCAGTTGGCGGCGCTGCGCGCTTCGACCCCACCTGGGAGTCCCTGGATGCACGCCAGCTGCCCGCCTGGTTCGACCAGGCCAAGTTCGGCATCTTCATCCACTGGGGCGTGTTCTCCGTGCCCAGCTTCGGGAGCGAATGGTTCTGGTGAGTGCACCTCCCTCCGTCTCCTCTGATCCCGCTTTGCACCCCACTGGCCTCCAGCCACGACCCAGATCCCAGCCTATGCCGGTTTGTTTTGCCCCCTAGTCAGTTTCACCTCCCGCTGTTTTAGCGGTGTTTAGCATTTCCGGGTGTTAAATGAATAATTTACTGTGTAAGTGGTTCGTGCTGGGTGAACACCGAATTTTTCTTCCGTGTGACTGCAAGAGTTGTCAGACAACTGATGTGACTGGCTTCTCAGCTTCTTGATAGCTGCACTTACAAGTTGTAGTTATCACTCTGTAGCCACCGAATGACTAAGACAGCAGGAAAGTAATCGACTGTGTGGGGTCATAATGTGAAGCGTGAGCCTGAACTGCCGTCCTTGTCCTTAGAGAATCAGACACCTTGTCCCGTCGCTGTTCTGCTGCTACCTGTCAATTTTTAGTTGTTCTGCCATGAAGTATGGTTTAAACATAAATTCATGGGTATGTGAGACTTCTGTTCCTTTGGGCATTCACTGGCTCTTTAATGTTAAAATGTTACCACGTGTGGCTCAAGAAACAAACAAAAAGTTCTAGAATGTTTACCCCAAAAAACCCCAATTATTAATAGACTGCTATGTGGAAAGTGCTGCACAAAAAATTGCTCTGTAGCTTTTACGTTGAGATCTATGTAAAAATGTGCATGTAATCCCTTACAACTTTGCAGTGTCTCACATACTTTCCTGATTAAATACCTCAGGTATTTTAAGTTCTTCAAGATAGAAATGGTATATATATAGTATACATATATAATATATTCCTAGTGAAATAAGAAAATAAACAATGAGTATTTAAACCTGCTTTATACTATATACATAGTGTACAACAAATTTAATATATACAATATATGTTAGATACATCAACTGAAAAAAAATACCCTATGTGAGAGTTGTGAATTAAGTTTTATTTGGGGCAAAATGAGGACTGAAGCTTGGGAGACAGCCTCTCAGAGAGCTCTGAGGAGCTGCTCTGAAGAGGTTGGGGGGAGAGATCAGTATATATGTGACTCTGGCGAAGGCGGATACGTGCAATCAAGCACACATTTTGGCAGAAGGTTACCGCTTGTCACGAGAAGGGTGCTGCTAGTCACGAGAAGGTTACCGCTAGTCACAAGAAGGTTACCGCTAGTCACGAGAAGGGTGCTGCTAGTCACGAGGAGCAGATTCTCCCTTATGATTTTAGTGCTTTTCTAGATATGAGAAGATGCAAGAATTTGGGCTCATAAAATCTTCTCCTGAAAATATCTAATTATCTGAAGGGCTGTTCTGCCAGTTTTTCCCAGAGCACAGAGTGCCTCATTCCTGATCTCCACCCTGAACTCCTCCCAGGGTGTGATGAAGGTCAGTGACTTCAGTGGCTAGCGACTTCATTCTTATAGAACCAGATGGCAAGTGACAATTTCTAGTTGGCAGATACAATACAGAGTATAAACTATATATTGTATTAACGTTATACTATAAACATTGTACCACTTTCTATAAAGAGACTTTCTGCAACCAGTAACTCTTCTTATTCAGTTAGGCCAGTTGATGTAAAAGAACTGTATAAACTATGGAGTACTATTCATATACTCTTTTGGAATCAACTTCAAAACCAAGGGACTCTTTCTTCCCATAACTTGTATTACCAAATATATTTGCTTCAGGATGTTATAAATCTTTCTTTGCAAGTTTTGTGCTGTGAGGCATTTTGAGTTTAGTTTTGAAATGTTTCAGATTAGCAAGGTACATCAATTAACAGATTTTTTCCTCTTAAGATATAATAAATTATACTTTAATTTGCCATTTTGTTCAACTGGGAAGATTAGGTAAATATACATTTGGTGCTGGGAGAGGATTTGATTGTTAACTGAAACTAGTGCTCTGTGCAAAACAGCTAGTTTTGAGTCATCTTATTCTTTGTAATGGTTAACTTTTTATTTTCTACAAATGAACACAAAGTTGATTGTTTTGACCTAGGACAATAAAGATAATTCTCATACAAAACAGAGTATATTTTTGATGGTCTGGAAGTGCAATAACCCTGTGGAAGATTCTTTAATTATCTATAGTTTCCCTTTGTGTCCCCTTTAAATCTCTGCTCCCCACCCCAATTTGTCCTGGAGCCATCAACAGTAGAGATGGGTATATCTGACTGTCCTTAATGGCAGTTCGAAACCAAATATAAATTATGGGCTGTTTACTGTAGGTGCCTCTTCTCATCTCTATTAGTAGGAAATTTGAGAAGTGACTCTAGACTATAATAGAGAATGCAAGTTCAAATTAGATGTGTTAGGAAAAAATAGGAATCTCTTATCTTTTAACTTTCTGACTGTCCCAGTTTCTCTTTTGTAGTTCGATTTAAAATGTAAAAATGCATCATGTATCAATTAGGATACTTTCACTTCAAGGTATAGAAAACCCAAATAAAAGGTTTAACAATAGGGGTTTGTTACTCTACATAATGAGAAATTTAGAGGTAGTTGGCTCATTGATGAAATCAAAGACCTAAGCTTTCTGTCATCCTCAGCCTGTTGACTTGTCCTGTCATGGTCACATGATGGTGGACAGGCATCACTTCATACAACCTTGTCCAAAGGCAAGTTGTATCTCTTTCTATTAGAGAGGAAACCATTCCCAGAATCTCCCAAGTTGGCTTCCCCTCAAGTTCCATTGGCCAGCTTGGGTCAGGTTTCCATGTGGTAGGTGTGATGGAAACTGGGAAAGTATGTATCTGACTTTTGGGCAGGTAAAGAATAGTGCCTGTGACATATTATGTCCTTCAGTGAAGGCTTCTCAGTGGGATGAACTTCCTGATCATCTTTGGGGATGTAATGCTGATTATGGATTTACTCATCCCTTAGAAACACTCTTATGAAAGGAGTGGTGGAAGGAAGAGTAGAAGATGGGTCAGAGATGGGGCCTGCATCTATTTCATGAGCATAATATTACTGCCACGTTTATCTAAAAATTATGTTTTCGATGTTGTTTTCCTCCTGAAGCTTTGCTTAGGCAGTTTAGGCCCCATTGCTCAGAAACCATGCATATAACCAGTGACTCCTTGAAGGCTGAGTCAATATATTAAAATAACAGCATCTTCTTAATTTTACTGTCATCTCCTCCCCCACTTGTTCTCTGCTAGTGAATATAATACATTTGTGTTACGCTTTATGTGCTTTTTCTTCTTTTGAAGCCTTCATCACTTATGTTACAAAGGACTAACTATGTAAAGATACTACATGTTGCAATTTAAAAGTGAAGAATTAAGAGCAAATGGGTGGCTGTGTTGTCTAGAATGTTCAGGTTGATGAGCTGAGTGGAGTTCACAGAGGGATAGATGGAAAACTATGGAAGTTTACATAAGCTTTCTTTAAGGTGAAGTCAAACTAAATGGGGAAGTGAGGAAGAGAATCTTGGTAATATGTGAGTAAGGGGGATTTAGGAAAGGGAGCTGGGGCAGTTACAGGTGACCCTTGAACGACACAGGTTTGGTCCACTTTTATGTGGATTTTTTTCAATAAATATACACTTGGCCCTCTATATTCGAGGATTTCACATCTCTGGATTCAACCAACCTCAGATGGAAATTTTCATCCACGGTTGCTTGAATCCACAGATGCCGAAACTGTGGATATGGAGGGCTGACTGGATTGGCTGACTGGGCTGGCCAAAAAGTTCCTTCAGTTTTTAAGTAAAAATAAAAGACACATTTTTCATTTTTACCAAGAACTTTATTGAACAACATATTCACTGTTTTGTTCCACTACTTTCTGCCATTTTTCAGGCAACTTCATAATTCCATCTTCCCAAAACTTTTTATCTTTTTGAGCAAAGAACTGTTCCAGGTGCCTTTTACAGTCTTCCAGGGAATCGAAATTTTTTCCATTAAGAGAATTTTGTAAAGACTGAAATAAATGGAAATCTGAAGGTGCAATGTCTGGTGAATATGGCGGATGAATCAGAACTTCCCAGCCAAGCCATAACAGTTTTTGCCTGGTCATTAAAGAAACGTGTAGTCTTGAGTTATCCTGATGGAAGATTATGCGTTTTCTGTTGACTAATTCCAGATGCTTTTCGTAGAGTGCTGCTTTCAGTTGGTCTAATTGGGAGCAGTACTTGTTAGAATTAATCGTTTGGTGTTCTGGAAGGAGCTCATAATAGAGAACTCCCTTCCAATCCTACCATATATACAACATCACCTTCTTCAGATGAAGACTGGCCTTTGGTGTGGTTGGTGGTGGTTCAATTCGCTTGCCCCACGATCTCTTCCATTCCACATCATTGTACAGTATCCACTTTTCATTGCCCATCACAATTTGTTTTAAAAACGGAACATTTTCTTAATGTTTAAGTAGAGAATTGCATGCGGAAATATGGTCAAGAAGGTTTTTTTCGCTTAACTTACGTGGTACCCAAACATCAAAGTGATGAACATAACCAAGTGCAAATGATTTTCAATGCTTGATTTGGATATTTTGAGTATGTCGGCTATCTCCCGCGTGGTATAATGTTGATTGTTCTCAATTAATGTCTCGATTTGATCACTATCAACTTCAACTGGTCTACCTGAGAGTGGATCATCGTCCAGTGAGAAATCTCCAGCATGAAACTTCGAAAGCCACTTTTGATACATTCAATCACTCACAGCACCTTCTCCATACACTGCACACATCTTTGTGTTTTAGTCGTTTTTTTACCTTTCTTGAAATAATAAAACATAATATACCAAACATGTTGCTTTTTTTCTTCCATCTTTAATATTAAAATGTCTACACAAAAATTCACCAATTTTGATAAGTTTTTTTTTAAATGCACGCTGATATGACAGCTGTCACAATACAATCTAATTGTTTTGAATGAAGTTAAAGACAAGGGGTACTAGCGCCATCTTACAGAAGAAAACAAACGAACTTTTGGCCAACCCAATACTATGCCATTTTATATAAGGGACTTGAGCACCCACAGATTTGGGTATCTGCTGAGGCTCCTGGGACTAATCCCCTATGGATACTGAGGGATAACTATATCTCAGATGTTTATGTGAATGCTGCTTATATGCTGTTTCCTTCATCTCCTTAGGTGGTATTGGCAAAAGGAAAAGTTACCAAGTTATGTGGACTTTATGAAAAATAATTACCCTCCTGATTTCACATATGCTGATTTTGGACCACTGTTTACAGCAAAATTTTTTGATGCAAACCAGTGGGCAGATATTTTACAGGCTTCTGGTGCCAAATATGTTGTCTTAACTTCCAAACATCATGAAGGTAAGTACAACATTTGCAAAAACTCACAGTGGCTATGAAATGTAAAGTAGTTCTTTTGGACCAAGAAACTAAAGCAAGGTCATCCACAGGAAATCAGAGTTTTCTCTTAGGAGCAATCATAAGTGCTTGCAGCTTAAGAGACCATGTGTTCCACCCACTTAAGAAGCATTATGTATGCAGAAAGGTCATACCCTCCACATGACAGAGAAAAAATGGAAACTGATCACATTTTTTTATATGCATATTTAACAATTTCCAAGTAATCCAAGATTTGATTTGAAGCTATTTGAAATGGGAAGTGGGTTGCAGGTCAAAGTTTACACTTGGAATTGCATTCTTCCTTTCTTCCCACCTTTGTAATGCATTCTGGGAAGGCACCCAGGGGATTATTTTGCTGTAGTTTTGCATCATGACCGACACACAAGGTTGTGCTTTTGGTCAACTCTTATATGGCCCAATTGAGGACAGTTTGCTAGTGATGAAAATGACGCAGGTCACCTGGAAGGAACAGGATTATGGAGCTGTAGTGGTGCCCAGAAATATCAGAGATGGTGGAGGAATATGTAAAGGAAACACAGTGGTTGTATTAGGGTTCTTCAGAGAAACAGAACTAATAAGCAGTATAATATATAGAAAGGTTTATCGTAAGAAATTGACTCACGCAACTATGGAGGCTGAGAAGTCTAGACCCAAGAGAGCCAGTTGTATTGTTCCAGTCTGAGTCCAAAGGCCTGAGAACCAGGAGAATGGATGATTTAGGTTCCTGTCCAAGTATGAGTGCAAAGGCAGGAGAAGACTGATGTCTCAGCTCAAAGACATGCAGAGAAAAGAATTCTTTCTTAATCAGCCTCTTATTCTGTTTAGGCAGGCCTTCAGTGGATTAGATGAGGCCCACCCACTGGGGGAGGGCAATCTGCTTTACTCAGTCTACCTATTCAAATGTTAATTTCATCTAGAAACACCCAGGAACATATCCCGAATGATGTTTAACCAAATATCTGGGCACCCAGTGGCCCAATCACGTTGACACATAAAATTACCATCATAGTGATCTTCCACTAATAGGATAGATTCCACCCATTACCATTCCAGTATCTATAAGATCAAGGAAGCATCAGCAAATTATTATTGTTCCAACAGCATGTTAATAATTAGACAATTTGTTTGCATAACCATCTTTGCCTTGGAATAAAAAATTTTGCCTCATTGTTTTCCCCAGGGGTGGGTAGGGGATTAGAAGGGAAGAACCAAAACCCAAAATAAGGAATTATCTTAGAATATTTTTCCCATTGGCCACATTCTAGTGGCTTAATGATTTTCTCCTATAGATGTTTCTCAGGCTGAGATGGATATTTATAAAGCGTATTTGCTTGTGAACATGTTGATTTCCTGATGCCTAGGAACTTCTCCAAGCTGTATGGCACAAGGTATTACATAGTGAGCTTATTTAAAAACAAAACAAAACAATCTTAATCACATTGTGAGGACAGATGATGTAGCCCACATTTATCAATTCTCTAGGACTCATATTGTTGGAAGTTTTCATGCTTATGGGAGAGACCCTGCTGAGCCTGGCTGGGCGGGAAGACCACTGTGTGAGCTTCTGGTGGTGCTACTGAACCGAATACCCATGTGGTTTTAGCACCACCAGACATTAGGGTCTGTCAAGTTGAAACATTTTTAATAAGACTTTAAATATCATCAGCAATGCTTTGAAGCTTACCACAAACATCTTTAGAACCAGTGTGAGCTCTTTTAAAAGTTTCTTCAAAATGAATCCAGAGTGTGTCCATCTTAGTCTTGTCCTAATTTACAAGAGTAAAGTGTTGCACCAAAGCACCTTACTTATGTCTGCTCTCAAAGATTCTTTTAGATTTTAGTGGGACAGCAACAATGTATTTATGTTCCTAGGTGCCAACTAAACATTTTGAGGCTTTTTAAATTATTTCTTAAGTATTTCAGTTTATATAGGGCTTTTATGGTTTTTATATAGAACAACCAGCAATCTAAATGCAAATTCCTTTTAAAATATGAATTATTTCAAAGTGCTTATGTAAAGGCAGACATTCTTCTTACCTATTTAGTTGGTAGGTAATTCACTTTTAGGTAATTTAAAGCACGACATCCAAGCTTATGATTTTAGAGTAGGATGAGATTACAAATGGTGGGTACATTGCAAAGTACAGAACTACTGGGGACTAGTACCCCACCCCCACCTTGATAAAATGAATAATGAGGGTAAAGGAGACTTACTACTATACATCGACACCAGTGTTCTAAGAATCATACTATAATAAAATAAATAATCCTAAAACCAGGGAATATACTTTAATTTTTGGTTTAGAAGACAAATAAGCATCCTGCAGGAGTGCATCTCAGGATCTTCACTGTAAGCAGTAATAGTCATTGTTTAGCATGGTAGATACGGAAGATGTTCCTGTCTTAGCTGTGATCGCTAATGTTGATTGCTGATTTTGTGCTAGACCCTGTGCTAGCCATTGGCTGAGGATATAGCAGGGAACACTGCAGACATGATGCTGTCCCTCAAGGAGCTTATAGTCTAAGAGGGAGAATACAGGAGATAGATCAGACTATACAGACTTTATGGGGAACCCTGAGAGTTGCTTTTAAAAATCTTGGTTCTACTTTGTTTAAATTCTCATTTGTTTCTTGTATGAAAGCAAAATGTATACTATGGAAAAAAACTGCCATAAAGCAGTTGTTTGTGGAAACAGTGATTTATGTATTACGTGTACTGCCTATGTGATTTGAAAGCTTTCTTTTTGTTTTTTTTGGCTGCACTGTGCAGCTCGTGGTATCTTAGTTCCCCAACCAGGGATCGAACCCATGCCCTTGGCAGTGAAAGCTCAGAGTCCTAAGCACTGGACCGCCAGGGAATTCCCCCTATGTAATTTGTTTTGGTGTTTGTATATGTGGAAATTTACTAAAACAATTGATATGCTTACAAGCTTTTTAATATAATGTTTCAGGCTTCACCTTGTGGGGCTCAGAGCGTTCGTGGAACTGGAATGCTGTAGATGAGGGGCCGAAGAGGGACATTGTCAAGGAACTTGCAGTAGCCGTTAGGACCAGGACTGACCTGCGCTTTGGACTGTACTATTCCCTTTTTGAATGGTTTCATCCGCTCTTCCTTGAGGATGAATCCAGCTCATTCCAGAAACAACAATATCCACTGTCTAAGATGCTGCCCGAGCTCTACGAGTTAGTGAACCAGTATCAGCCTGAGGTCCTGTGGTCAGATGGTGATGGAGGGGCCCCAGATACCTACTGGAACAGCACAGTCTTCCTAGCATGGTTGTACAATGAGAGGTGTGTGTGTGTTATTAGATTGCTGTTGTGACCTTAAACATTCCTAATACATGTATAAAATTTTCATTCCCTTGCTTCTTGAAATATGTCCTTTCAGGCTCATTTGTGACATGGGGGAGGAAATCATTGTAAATAATGCTCATTAGATATATCAATATTTACTCAGAATAATCAAGAGTTACAAATCAGGAGCCAAATACAACTCAATAGTCTGATTTTGAAATCAGACTAAACGTCACAGGATCAAGAACTTTGAAGACATTAATTTTGTGGGTCCTCATTTTCATCTTCTATTCTGGGACAACTCTATTTATTCATCACTGTTTCTGATGATGTGCTTTTCAATTCCTCTAATTGCTTCTTTTCATCCTCATACATTTGATAATCTTTGCTGCTCAGACAATGTCACCCTTGTCTGTCTCCTCTTTTCCCTCATCGTCAGCATTTCACCTCTTCCTGTTCTCTCCTCTTGCTTTCTAGCATGTTCCAAGCTACCCCATTAGAACAGGAAGTTCTGACTGAGCTCCTTTATGAGGCTTACACTATATGGAGCAAAGTTATATTTGTAACTAGAAAGTACTTGCTATCATGCTAGGAGGTCAGGGAGTGTCCTGCTTGTGTTCTCTGGGCCCACAAAGGGCACACATGCAAATACTCTGGAGAACTCTTGATATGTAACTGCAGTTTCTCTAGGTACTCCTTCCAAAAGGAAATATGGGGAACCCTCCACTTCAATTTGTGAACCAAACGATCCCCTCTAAGTGGAGAAGTGCAGGAGGTACCAACTGCTATGATGAATAATGTAGCAGGGATATTTCATGCTACAGTGAATTCCATGATAACGGTCAACTTTCCTGAGGTTTTTCAATATTAGGCACAATTGTAAGAGAAAGAAAGGCTAGAATATGTGTAGGAGATTATTCAGTCATAGGTGAGAAGAATGTCTTGACTGTAAATTCAATTTTAGCTACCATTCACAATATGGGGGCAGGGAGGAGAACCTTCAAATAATAGTAAAATACTCTTATAAGTGCTATGTGTGCTGGGCACTGGGCTATGTGTTTTACATAAATTAGTTCTGTTCTAATAATAGATGAGGAAATTGATTATTCAGAAGAGTTAGGTAACTTGCTGTGGGACAGCGAACTTAGAAAGTGACAGGCCAGGACTACAATCTCCCCAGGTCTATTTGACTTCAAAACCGTGGGCTTTGTATTATATTCCACTACGGTTATTTTCCAGGAGTGAATTTCAGTCAGACCTCTTTTCAGTGACACTGCTTTTGTGTAAAAATTTTTTACTTTTTGTTTAAAAAAAAAAATCATCCTTTTCATTTCAGCCCAGTTCGGGACACAGTGGTCACCAATGACCGTTGGGGAGCTGGTAGCATCTGTAAGCACGGTGGCTACTATACCTGCAGTGATCGTTATAACCCAGGACATCTTTTGCCACATAAATGGGAAAACTGCATGACAATAGACCAGTTTTCCTGGGGCTATAGGAGGAATGCTGGAATCTCTGACTATCTTACAATTGAAGAATTGGTGAAGGTACAGTAAAATGTCTGGTGACCATTATGGTAGCACTTGTAATAGTGTAGGTGTATGAGAATTATTTTTTCTAAATTGTATAGCTCAGTGGTCTATAACACAGGATATTACTCTTTTTTCTGTGTGTGTTCTCCTAGATAGTGGCTATATATATATATGTCTAAGTCCATAAATACCACATGTTAACACATTCAGGATGGAATTGTTTTCTTTCTCTAAGAACTATATTTATTCTTAATTTTTTAGCAACTTGTAGAAACAGTTTCATGTGGAGGAAATCTTTTGATGAATATTGGGCCCACAAAAGATGGCACCATTTCTGCAATTTTTGAGGAGCGATTAAGGCAAATGGGGACCTGGCTAAAAGTGAATGGAGAAGCCATCTATGACACTCATGCTTGGAGATCCCAGAATGACACTGTCACCCCAGAGGTATGGTAAGTACTATTAGATAGAGGAAGGCATTTAACATTTCTCAGAGGTAAAGAGAAAAGTAAACTAAAAAAGGAAATGGGATGAATGCCCACCTACACAAAACACTTTCTTTACTTACTCTACAAGAAATTAGCATATTTTAAAACACATTATTTATCAAATTGAGCTGAAATCGTCTCTAGATTCCTCCAAACAGTGGACAGATTTCAGGGAAAAATATTCAGCTCTTACAAAAATTGTAGGCCATTCAGAAAAATGAAAAAAAAAAAAATGCTGAGTGGTTAATCCAAAAGAGACTTCAGGTTTAGTCAGGTAAATTCTAACTTTTGCAGGTGTTACATCGCACCTAATTAGCAGGAGGAGGTGCGGAAGGGCAGAAAAAATATTAAAAATCTGCAAAAATAACAGCATTATTTAAATTGATTAAAAATCTTGTACCTTGTTCCTATTATTCTAATAAATCTAAACCTGAAGTTTCTTTAAAATTATCTTAACTGGCTAACTTTTCTTTTAACTAGTATCTCCTGTAAAAGCCTTGCCACAGGTTCTGTCTGAGCTTTGGAAAGTTCTATGGGCCAATGGGTCAGACTCTGCAAATACGGTGGTTTCTGATGTGCGGTCTTAACATATATAAATAAGAGTAGCATTAGTGAAGCTCTAAAAATTCACCTTATGTTGCCACCAAAGTGAGTACAGCCTGATCAAGTATATATCAAAAGATTAGACTAAATAATCTTCCTTGAACTTATGACTTAAAATAAATTGTCAGTTCATTGAAGAAAATAAAGTAAGGCAGTCTACACAGAAGCAACTGACTATAGAATTTTAGAATGCCGGGTCTGGGAGAAGCCACAATAAGAACTCAGAACCAATCTTTCATTTTACAGAGGCTAGTTTAAATTGGGTTTTAGAATTTGCTTCTGTGTTTGTATTTGACTATGAGGGTGTCTGATCTGGGATTTGACAATGGTTAACCATTATTCCATTACATTTTCTTTCAATAAGTAAAGATAAAAGCCAAACTACTTATTAGCAAGACCTATAAAGCCGTAGCCTGGCTCCACTGCACCGAGCCCAGTGGCTTGCTATCCCTGCCTTACCAGAGGAGCTCTCTCCCCACAGGTTCAGCACGTGTGCTTCCCCTCCTTGCTGCATCTTTAGATAACTATCTAGACTCCCAGGGCTATCCTTGAAATCCTTTGACATTTTAGCCCTGGCTCACTGTTACTGTCCCCAGAACTACTCTTCACATAATTCTTAGTGATTTTAATGTCAATATTCACAGCTCTTCTAATCTGCTGGCCCCTCAGTTCCGGTACCTCCTCCCTTCTAGGGATCCTTTCCCCTTCTGTTGGTCGTACCTTAGACCTTGTATTTCCAATAATTGTACTCCTCCTATGCTCTCAGTCTGAAGCATTCCATTGTCTAACTCCCACCTCTTATATTTTAGCTCACTGTCACTTTTTCTGTCACTTTTTTTTCTGTCACTTTTTCTCTTCCTCCTGCCTCAACCCTCTCATGTCTTTTCTTTTTCCTTATCCAGGTCAGGTTCTATGCATCACTCCAGTGCATCCACCCTCAACTCCTTAACTCTCTCTCCCTCTGTCGTACTCATTAAAACTCAGCTTTGATTAAACTCAGCTCTACTTATTCCATATCTACCCCTGTGTAGCTAAATGTGACTAGAAACACACACACACACACACACACACACACACACACACACACACACACA